AAAATTTTCAAGTTGCCTTTTTGCTTTTGGTTTGAAGTTACGAATCTTTCAAGGTATCGCGCATTTGGGGGAAAACACTCGTTTTCTGCACAAAATTTGACAACGCCAGAAAACTCAAAACTTTTTGTGATTTTAGTGAATTGTTGAGAAAATTCAGACACAACCGTCTTCTCTGAACTGTAAAATTTTCAAGTTGCCTTTTTGCTTTTGGTTTGAAGTTACGAATCTTTCAAGGTATCGCGCATTTGGGGGAAAACACTCGTTTTCTGCACAAAATTTGCCAACGCCAGAAAAGTCAAAACTTTTTGTGATTTTAGTGAACTTTTGAGAAAATTCAGACACAACCGTCTTCTCTGAACTGTAAAATTTTCAAGTCGCTTTTTTGCTTTTGGTTCGAAGTTATAAATCTTTGAAGGCATCGCGCATTTGGGGGAAAACACTCGTTTTCAGCACAAAATTTGCCAAGGCCAGAAAACTCAAAACTTTTTGTGATTTTAGTGAATTTTTGAGAAAATTCAGACACTACCGTTTTCTCTGAACTGTAAAATTTTCAAGTTGCCTTTTTGCTTTTGGTTCGAAGTTACGAATCTTTCAAGGTATCGCGCATTTGGGGGAAAACACTCGTTTTCTGCATAACATTTGCCAACGCCAGAAAAGTCAAAACTTTTTGTGATTTTAGTGAATTTTTGAGAAAATTCAGAGACAAACGTCTTCTCTGAACTGTAAAATTTTCAAGTTGCTTTTTTGCTTTTGGTTCGAAGTTACGAATCTTTAAAGAGATCGCGCATTTGGGAAAAACACTCGTTTTAAGCACAAAATTTGCCAAGGCCAGAAAAGTCAAAACTTTTTGTGATTTTAATGAATTTTTGAGAAAATTCAGACACAACCGTCTTCTCTGAACTATAAAATTTTCAAGTTGCCTTTTTGCTTTTGGTTCCAAGTTACGAATCTTTCAAAGTATCGCGCATTTGGGGGAAAAGACTCGTTTTCTGCACAAAATTTGCCAACGCCAGAAAAGTCAAAACTTTTTGTGATTTTAGTGAACTTTTGAGAAAATTCAGACACAACCGTCTTC